TCTATAGCACAATAGATGAAGCTTCAGCAGTAGGAAATGATAGGAGAACTGGTAACATAATTAGGCTTGATAATCAGAAGTAGCTATTTTTAAAAGTCACAAGTTATTAATAATCTTGCATGACTATATGTAGTGGTATTGATAATACGACGTGTCAGCATATTCATTTTGAAAAAAAGTTTTACACTTAATATATGTATACATATAAACGAAAAACGTGGAAAATTTTAATGCTTCATTTTAAATGTTAAGGAATTCTGTGTTATTCACTAGCTTGGCTATGCAAGCATTTCTTTCGTTTTTTTTAAATTTTGGTGAGGCAATTAGGGCTAAGTGACTTGCTCAGAGTCACACAGCTAGTAAGTGTCAAGAGTCTGAGGCCGTATTTGAACTCTATGCAAGCATTTCTTTTTCAGCCATGGCTGCTCAAGAAGACTGATTACTCAGACATGGGCATTATGCTCTGCATCAGTGGAAGGATAACCCACACTAATGAAATCACATGTTCTATTCTGTGTTTATGACTCCAGTTGTTATAATTATTTCCTGTAAAAGCTATCCAAAACTGAAGGAGGAGAATATTTAACTTATTTATTCTGATAGCAAAAAGGATAATTGACTGAGTAGAAAATGCTTAGCAGTTATCAATGAATTTTTAAAAATACTTCTTTGAGGGCAGAGATTATATAGAATTTTGTAAAATTAGAGTATAAACCTTACCCAAACATTGTACTAATGCCCTTAATCTTTAATTTGAGGTGATTTAGTATAGGAAAAAGAACAGTGGGTTAAGAATCTGGAGACAAGGTCTAGTTCCAGTCCTGCCACTAAACATATGTGTGACTTTGGGAAATTAACATCTCTATCTTAATGTCGTCTGTCTATGTTTCTGTAAATTGCATTCATAGAAAACAGCAACAAAATGTAGGTGATTAGGTTGTGGTTGTGTGGTTTGTCCTTTGTTGTTGAAGAGGATCATGACATCAGGAAGATGATGACATGACTTGCAATTGAATTGAATTGAAGTGAAGGAGGACTGTGCAAAGTCACCAGCCTCACTTTTTCCTCCAGAGCCATCTGGGTCTGGGTCCAATGACTAGATTAAATCAGGACAGTTGGAGATGGTCCAGGATGCAGTGGGACACCTTGGCCCTTTTAAGCTAAGGTCGTTCCAAGTTCTCACTTTGAGTGAGGTAATGCCCATTCAGTGTTTAGGCCTGTTTAAGAAGTGAATCAAGGGATGGCCCCTTAAAAAAATCCAATTCAATTGCAAGTCATGTCATCATCTTCTTGATGTCATGGTCCTCTTGGAGAATAGGGATAAACCACAACAGCCTTAAATCCAATTCACTCTGGCTCTCATTAATTAGCCAAGCACCACTTAATGGTTATTTTTTGAGCCCGATGACTCAGAGTAAATGTTAAATAGTAATTTTTTCTGTTTTGGCCAGCAACCCTGAGGGTCTCTCCTCCCGCTTTGAGGTGATTAGAATCTGCACTAAATTATGCTGTCTGTATGGAATTTTAAAGTATTATTAAATATTATTACTGAATTAAATGAACATTGTTTCACATATAAAACTTAGATTTTTGTTCAAAGTACTTTGCCACCATAATTTAGGAGTTATTGTTCAGATTTAGCCTTTCCACATGGGCCACTTTACATTTAATACTCCTATTTACACCAGATCCAGATTGTTTTATAAATGTATAATTAGTGAAAAGAGAGTCCCCAATCAGTAACTTGGAATCTATTGGCAAACCTAAAAGCTATATCTGATGTATCTTTAAGCAGATTGATCCAGTGTCTAGCACAGCATCTAACATATAGTAGGCGTGCTTAAAAATGTGTATTGATTGCCACCATCAGTTTGCCAGAATTTTCATCAGAAAAGAGATCTTGAGATCAGTGATCTCAAGAACTTAAGGGAAATGAAAGGTTGCTTCTAAGAAAAATGTTGGGAATGTTTGGTTTCGAAGTGAACAAGTAAGAGATTAATAAGGAGTTCCAAGTGACCCATCTAGATAACACCATTGATATAGGTCAGTGGAGCCATGCTTATATGCAAAGTATAGTATGTTAAACTATCTTGATTTTGTTACCAATTCAAGGTAAAATAAATAACAAATGTTTTATTTAATTTAGTTTAATTTTCCATTTGTTGAGACCTACACTGTTGAAGAAGTAAAACTCCAGCCAAGAAATAACTGTGGGTATGACACAGGAGATGCTGAGTTTCATGGAACACCTAGTGAAAATAATTACCCTTGGAATGTTGATGGAGATTTAATGAAAGTGCCATCAGAAGTTCATATTAAGTAAGTATACATACCATTGGTCATCGAGAACACACTAGTCAGGCATGTAGTGAGTGCTCAGCTAAAGTTAAGTTATGATGTTGAATCATCCCATAGCTACCTCAGTTTTTCTTGGTACCTATTTGCATTTCATGTATGTCTATTAGTTGTCAGAAGATTTGGGTGTATGATGCATAGGATACTCAGTACTTTGTGCAGGTGATAAGACTCTACATTATAAAAATCAATAGAACAATGAATAAATTAATAGAATCACAAATGACAAGTATTTTCTTTATAGGGTGCATCCACAACTTATCAGGCTTTATGGAGGACACCTACAAGAAATGAATGACTACAAGTAATATTAAATTTTTAATAGAAAAAAATGTATAAAGTTGGGATATTTATAGCTCAAATAATTTTAAAATCAAAGTGGCTATTTTTATGTTATAGAAAAATATAATTTAGTTTTTAAAAATCTGGAAAAAATAGTATATGAGATGTTAAACTATTTTAGTAAAAATATATTTATTGAAACTGCAGATCAAGATTTCAAGTTTTCAGTCTAACCACTCATAGAGTATACCACCCAAATTACTACAGTTGTTTTAACCTGTATTATTAAAACTGAAACTAAGATTTTACACTTTTAGAAATGAATAAACTGATTCTGACATATTTCTAACATTTTATTTCTTGTAGTTTGTCCATGTAATCTTTTGCAAATAATATTGCTATTCTACACCATGATCCCATCTCCCCAAAATTCTGTCATTATTCAAATTAACTATGATGATTAGTAAATATTTTTCTGAAAGTAAGGGACTCATTTGTCTAATTTTTAAAATGTTCTTAATTCATAAAACTAAAACTCTTACATGCTCCATTTAAACATATACAAAATTTATACTCATTTTCACCCTTTAAAATGCTTCTTCTTCATAGTTCAGAACAAATTTTAAAAGTTTATATCTTCTCTCATATCTGAGAGACAGACAGGATTTTAGAAATTACTGCACTTTGGTACATAACAGTGGCAAATGCCTTATACTCAGTACTAAAATACTCCTTTACAAATAGGAAGGAGACCAAATTAAAGAGTTCTTCAAACAGAATTCTTCTGGAGATAGAAAATCAAAGGCCATAGTTTTAGGGGCCTTTAAGGCAAAGCCAAAACTTAGCCTGACCACACTTAATTTTACTAACCATGAGAACCTGGAAAAGGAAGATCTAAGACTTCTGGAGCCACAAAAATACAGAAATACCATTTACCCAATTGATGTATTCATTAAATATTTTGTGTAGATTTTTTGCAATGTGTGTTATTTTTCATTTTACTAACAAATAAATAAAGGGCTACAAAAATAAATCAAAGAATTAGAGGACTAGGAAAGAGATTTTATCAGGATTTGAAAAAGTTACATATTTTGCCACAAGTACAAGGATACACACAAGCAGACCCTGATAAAATGTTATTTGCCTACTTTTTACATCACCTACTTAATATACATGTAATAAATACCGCAAATAAAATGCATTTTCATTTGCAAATACAATATAAATTATTTAGAAACCTGGAAATAAGCTATTTCATGACTTTAAACAATTACCTTACACTTTAATGGAAACATTTGCTGTATTTATATTCTTTGCATTTATCCTTCATTCCCCAAATATTTTTAGTATAGTTAAATTTGTGACTTCTTTTGCATCTTTTGTAAAAAAAAAACAAAATAAGAACTGATATGTACTCATTTAATACTTATAGTTGAATAGCACACATTATTATTCAAATATATATTAGTGCATTTCCTTATCGTCCAATCAGTATTTCCATACAATACATATAATGGTTGTCCTTATGTTTTCATCATTACTGAGGTATGGTTTTCATAATACATACATCATATACATCAGTGTATTTTCTATTCATATACTGACTAAAGTGCAACACTCACAATCTGCTGTCTCAATATTAAAAATATCATGGAAGTAAATAATTTTTCAAATTTACAAATAATCATGTTAAAAAAACTATTTTCTTTGGTTCATGGTTACCATGGAAGAAAGTGTATTGTGAATATATGTGCATATATTCACATAACTTAAAAAAGCATAAATGAATTTTATATATTCTTATACATAATAATGCTTATTTTACATATGTATATGTAAATCCATAGACCTAAGAAAATCACACATCATCCTTCTCTTAAGGCACAACCAATGAAGTCGCATGTTTGATCACTATACGCATGGTTCAGCTATTATTTTCCTCAGTTAATGTAGGTTATTAAGTATTATTAGCTGCTTAATAAATACTTGTTAGGGGCAGCTAGTTGGTGCAGTGGATAGAGCTCCGGCCTTGGAGTCAAGAGGACCAGAGTTCAAATCCGGTCCCAGATACATAACACTTACTAGATGTGTGACCCTAGGCAAGTCATTTAACCCCGACTGCTTCACCAAAAAACACACACAGAAAATAAAAAAATAAAAAATAAATATTTGTTGATTGTCACCCACGGAAGTGAGTTACAATCAAAGATCATTAAAGATGCATTTATTTTAACATAGGGTAATCTTTTCTGATCACTTCATATAGGAAAGCCTTGAAACAGCCCTTTGAAATATAATTAACAATACCTCAAAGAGAACTGTTTTAAATAAGCCAACAAAGATTTCTTCAAAAGCAACGAATGTCCATTTGATAAGGGTTTATTTCACCACTATAATGAGTATAGCTTGCAAATACATTTATTCAAAAGGATGCTTCAAGTAAAAGGATTTGCTAAACTGAGTTGCTTATTCTCTCCACGATGTAACTCAGTTCACATATACTGGCATCCCATGATCTCTTCAGAGAACTACTCATCCTGAAGAAATAAACCTTTTTAGTGTTCTTCAATTCTTCTAACACCTGAGAATGATGCTGTCTTGGGTTGCTTCAGGTACCTTCTTTTTCATTCTTCTTGAAACAACAATCACCATTTAGATGCTTACTGGAATTATGATACATTCTGCCACATGGTCATATTTAAGCTCCCCCCCCCAATAAAAAAGCACATTAAGATGAGTAAACACAGTAGAATTCAGTTGACGATGTTTTCTTGTAAGCAGTGTCTTCCATCTTTTTTTAGTTAACCTGAGACTGATATACTGTAAAGAAGTCTTTAATTCTCTTTATTGCTGTTGACATAGCTCCAACTGTCTCTTCTGTTTTCCTCTTGAAGGATAGCTTTATATTCTCTTTTAAAGAAACCCGCCTGAATAAAACAATACCATTTCAGAGTCAGTAACCATAATTCTAGTGTGGGATGAACCCCATAAAGACATGATAATCTCTTCACATATTGCTAATGCTAGTACTCTTTTTTTTTTCTTTTAGCTTATTTTGTACTAAAGTTCCTCATGTACCTCTAACAATGAACAACCGCTGTGGGGGTACCACCAAAAACACTACAGAAAGCTAAAAATGTCTTTTATCTGACCTAGGCAAACTCTGAAGGGAGGAAAAATGACTGTATTTCTAAGATTCCTCTCATCCAGAAAGTAAAGGAGCCCAAAAAGCAAACAAGTTAGTTTGGGCATTTATTCAAAATGTAATAATCCTGGGGTCAAGAAAGCAATTTTTCTTAAGAAAGACTTCAATAAATTGGAGGTTGGGAAAATAACAGGAAATCAGAGTGAAATGGATTTGGGGAGTGATGAGTGGAACACTGCTAGATTTCAGAATGTTTTACTGTTAAAAGGGAAACCACGCTACTGGATTTGATAAAATTTGAAAAATAGACTATGTGACTTACCTTCCACATGATGTATGAAAGAAATAAAAATACAGTGAAACCCAGTATAAAACTGGTTGAAATAACCATTATACGAAAATATGGCTTAGGCTTTTGGTGATGCAATCCATCTAGATGGACCTATATGAATTGAAGGAAAATTTTTAAAGCATCAGTTCAGAAAGCTAACATATATAATTCATGAGTTACTGTGCTCCCCCCCAAAAAGGATGAAGCAATTTAAAAGAAGTTACAACATGCAAGTGGAAGCAGCATCCATACCAATAAAACATATCCATGTCTCACATTCATATCTAGTGGGCAAGTTAGTGCTCCTGTATTCCCTATGTCCCTTGGACAGCACGTGGGGTTCATGCAATAAACTGAATAATAAAATGTCACCAATATTACAAGTATATGTACAGAGAAAGTACTGAGAGAGAAGAGAAGGCCTAGAACAGAGCCCCAGGATAGATCCATGCAAAGGGGTGGGGGTAGACATGGACCTCAGAAAAGTAAATTGATAGGAAAAGGTCAGATAGGTCCAAATATATGTAATACATGCACATTTTGTGAAAAATTTGATCTTTGTCCTCCCACTATCACTTTATCCTCCCCCTGCTTTCCTAGTCCACTGAGCCTGATTTTTTTTCCCTCTGAAATCTTGACACAACTGTAAACAGTTCAGTTTGCATTGTTCTCTATCCTAAAATCCCTTGCCCCTTGGTTGTATGTCTGCTCTTTCCAAACCCCAATTCTGGATCAGTCTTCCCATTTATCTTATCTGTTCTGACTTACAAGCTGCTAACACTGCTGAGGGAAATAACACAACCATGGTGACTAGATAGTTTGTAATTTTTTCTATTTCAAATCCCATGGGGTACCTTTCCCCCTACCTCCCCACCCTTAATTCCTGTCTCATCTTGATGCTGCCCTGTAGCTAGGCAATCCAGATAAGCTGCTAGGTTTAGCCTCCCTCTTGCCTTCCCCTCACTCCTTTCCCTAACCCAGCTACCCAGAACTCATCAGGATAGTTGAGCTGGAAAAGTCAATGGGGACAGCTTTGCCTTCTTCCTTTGCCCTATCCCTAGCATCCCCAAACCCATTCAGAACAGGCATCGCCACGGGGGGGGGTAACCCCTCCTCCTTCACATTGTGCTCTGCTCCCCGAACAGGACTATCCAGGACCCCATCCAGGCTGCTTGACTTCTTATGTCACCTGAATGAGATGGGAGTCACCAACCCTCTTCCTTCCAGTGAACTTGGAGGGCCTTCCATCCCTTACCATCTGCCCTGCCTTTACATCCCCTTGGCATTGTCATCTGACCTCCTGTGGTAACCTAAGGATGCCAGGTCTTATTCTCCCCCCTGCTTCTCCCATAGGACTTTTGGGCCTCTCCATTCACCTTAAAGCTGAATTTTCTTTTATGTTATCATCTTTCCCGTTAGAATATTTGCCTTTCTTTGTAGCCCTAAAAATTGAAAAGTGCCTGGCCTAAATGTTCACTGACTAATAGAATAATACAAAGTTAAAGTGAAGATGGTAAAAGATAATTTATCTACCCTGTTTCGTTTAGTCACACAGAACAAAAACAATCGATCCCCTAAATGATATTTTTCACACCCCCAATGGAAGAATTCTTACATATGCAACATTTTCATCCTTGTGTGATTCAATAACTTTTGGATGTGGCTCCTGTGAGACTGTAGCTTTTACTTCAAACTTGAGTGCCGAGGTCTCATCCTATCATTAGGAAATGGGGGGAAAAATTCCTGTTTTATGTCATTATATTGATTTCATATCAATTGAAATTTGAATTGAAATTGAAATCAACCACTTTATTGATTTCAAATCAATTTATATTAATATTTAACCATATCAAATTTATATAATTCATATCAATCAGTTTCATATAATTGATTTCATAATTTTTACCCATTACCTAGGAATTTTCAAAGTTATTACTAATCCTATCTTTAAAATTTTGTTCCATTTTTGAATTTTTGTTCTATGATCTGTACTTCAGTGTTAACTATGTATGGAGTACCAAGGGTCCAGTGGCCTTAATATTTATTTGTATATTGTTTTATTTCAGTGAAACCTTTCTAAAAAATAAGGTTACTAGACAAGTAGGGTTTTTTAAATTATTATTTTTCATTGTACTTAGACTTCATTAATAAATTGTCTGTCACTTTTATCTTCAAATAGTCAATCTCTCTCCTTTCCTTTAGGCATAGGTTTCAAAAATTTCGGGTTTTATGTGTAATTAAAATATCATCTAGCATAGCTTCCTTCTCCAATACATAAACTGCCTGAAGTCCAATCCGGGTGAAATGATTTTTTTTTTTTTGGAGAGAAGAAGAAAATGAAACGTTGTGTCATGTAAGGAATGCCACATTTTCTGGCATTATTTAGTTATTACTGAATAGCGGTTAAGCTGGAATCAAATGCATGTTTCACCATGGGTACAGTCTCCTTAGATTTCTCAATCTTTGAGAAGAACTTCTAGATATTTCATGACTACTTGGCCCAAGAAAAAATAGCTAGCATGTGTTAGGGTCACATTCCTAATTACAAAGCTAGATTTCTATCCACTATACCACATTACCTCTCATGATTCACTTAGAAAGTTATCTTGAAAGGAAAGATATTCCAAAATAAAACCTCTTGGGTTTTTTAAGATAGACACTGGGGGGAAAAGGCAACAGATAGTTGGTACTCTATGTCATTATGTGAAGATGTGAGGATCTACTTGATATCACCACAGTGTTTATCTTTTATGGTTTCCAAATGTACGAAGGCCTAAAGCCTATAATAGATAGTTTTAAACTCAATCTAGGATATAAATTATGACCATAAAAACAGAAAAAAAGAATGATATAACCAGCTGGATTATATCCTCAGTTTTTCAACCACTTGATATTTTAAAAAAGCAATCTATCAAATCTTCAATAGCAATAGATGATAATTCTCTTCATTTTCTAGTCTAAGATCTTTTTTAAAAAATTTATTTGTGGAAGAAATTATTATCCATAAGGTTGGATAATGTTTCTCATTGTCATTGCACATAGTTCTAAGATCAATTTAAAGGTTTCTGTGATATGCCCATTCTACCTCCAGTGTTCTGCCTATATCTGTTAATTATAACTCTAATGTGTATAGTCATAATTTTATATATGTATATATATACACATATATATGTATGTATGTATGTGTATATATAATATATACACATACATATATATATATATATATATATATATAATAACTCTTCAGAAGCTTGGACTTCCTAAACTTCACTAAAAATGTTTATGCTATTCAGGTCAGGGTTATCTTTTTTTTTTTTAGGAAAAAATATAATTTCCTTATTTTCTTAATAGAAAATGCAGTGTTGAATAATTATAGATTTCAAATTCAAATTGGGGGGGAGAAAGTACAGATTCAGTCTTTTATAATACTGATGCGATATTAATGACTTCTCTTGATATTATACAAGGATTTCAATATTTCAATTAGATTTTACAAAAGCTTTTCTTTTTTCTTCTTAGCACTCTTTCCCTTTAATCTATAAAATAATAGCTTTCTAGGTATAAATTTTAGAAGTGTGGAACTTTTAGAAGCAAGGAGGTAAGCTTTCCAATTTCACAGAGCTTCAGTGGCTTAAGTTCAATTGCGATGTGTATAATTATTAGTAAAGTGAATCAATGTGTATAGCCAATCTAGTAAAAATAAATCCTTCTTTATGCCTTAATTTCCTGGCCTGAATTACCTGGCTACCACACCAGCTCCCTCAATTTGTCACAAAAAGAAGCTTAAGTATTTGGAGGTCTTCAAGCAAAGCATACATGACCACTTGTTGGATATGTTTTAGAGTGAATTATTTTTCAGATAAGGGCTGTATCAGATTGCCACTGAGATCCCTTCCAACGCTGAAATACTATGATACACATGTTCTTCTTGTCCTAGAGTTTTACCTCAAACCTTAACTGTGCTCAAATCTCAATAGGATGTACATTCCTACCCAAATAAATTCAACTGAATTTACATATTGAGATCTTAAAATTGATTCGCAATCACATGAAATCACACATCTGTTTACCATTTCTAAAATTGATGGCCGGCCTTCCAAATGAATATGGACACTGGCTTCTTTTCCACTTTCCATTTTCCCAAAATTGCAGGAAAAAACTAAACAATGTAGATCATTTTTTAGACAGTACTAAAAAAAAAAACCCACAAAAGTATTAAGTTGAATGTTTCCAACATTTTAAGTAAGATGATACAACAGTATTCTAAGTGAAAATCATGATGTTTTCCTTGCTGGCATTTATAAAACAAATCTCAGTATAAATAAAACACGAATGTCTGCTTTGCAAATCATAGCAGAAACATAAATTTCCCCCAGAATGTTGGTTGTCATTTTCTATGTGATCTTATCCTTTGCAATGAAACATAAAATGAAGTTTCATAACCAGAATGCCTGTCTAAATTACATGCTATATGTAAATTACAAAGCTTAAAACATATCAGACATAAGGCTGCCTTCCTAGCTGTTTGCAATATACATATCATGTATATGTATGTATGTATATATGTTGCATTATTAAAATTTTCTTTTCATCAAGCTGATGAAAAGAAAATTTTAATAATGTAACAAAAGCTGACCAGTTAACCAAAGCCTGGCAGGGCTGAAGATGAAGGGCTCACTGAATTAAACTCTGTACCTTGTTGCAAAATTAACTTCACATACTAAACAGTCATTTCCGAGCTTCTCTTAATTTTTGTGGTATAGGTCACAGGGGTGGGAAACCTGCAGCCTTGAGGCCACGTATAGCTTTCTAGGTCTTTGGGTGCGGCCTTCTAACTGAATCCAGATTTTCCAAAACAAATCTTTTTATTAAGGGGATTTGTTCTGCGAATTTTGGATTCAGTCCAGGGCTGTACTTGAGGACTTAGAGGGCCACCAGTGGCCTTGAGGCCAAAGGTTCCCCACCCCTGGATAAGAGAATAAGAAAAGGGTAATATTTCAGTTAAGTGCTTAGTTGCATAAGCACAATATTTTCTGGGAAAATATTCACTAATAATGAAGTTGCAATGTGGATGTCCAACCTCAGGTCTTAACATCTCCACATTCCATGTCCTGCAATCCCATCTAACTGGTTCCTCTCAAAAGGATTTATCTCATAACTGAAAATGTCTTTGTAATTAACTGCACAGTTGATCATGTGGCCCCCTTTGTTCAGTGTTAAAGATTCTATATTTAAAACGGTATTTTAATAATTACTATTATTAAAGAGAAGCTAATAAAAATTAATAATTCCATTGTATTAATGTAACCTTACCATTAGCCTTTTATCAGTCTTTGAAAAGAAATTGACTATATCTTTTAGTGGCTCAATTTTTCTCTTTTCTTGTGATAAAGTGCACACCCTCTGATAATCATCAAAATCACATTTTCCAGCTGTCGTCTAAAAAGGCAAGAGGGAAAAGTTATTTGTATTTTTTTTTATACTGGTAAAGAAAAAAAATACTAAGATTCATGTTTTCCTCAGGCTGGTAACTATCTTCACAGATATGGATCACAAATCTTTAAAGCCTTAACAGATGACTGAGCTCCTAGAAAGTGTGCTGCCCTCACTCCCTGCCAAATCATGGCCTGGTGGCCACCAGCTAACCTACTAATGAGACTCCCAGATGACTAGGGGTATCCTTAAAGCGTTCCCAGTTTGGCAGAACATGTCAATCCTTATGCTCTCCGTCCATAACATTTCGGGACCCAGGGTTACCTTGATATCATGAATCATGATTTGACATCACAGGAGGATTTTAGTGGAGCTATATGATTTGAAATGTATCTGGTTACACATTCTTTTTCTCAAAGTATTTAGATCCTTAAAATTTGAGCAAATATGCTCATTTATTTTAAATCAATAAGTTTTATATACAGGACAGCAGATTTATTCTGTGGTTAATAAAGAACAATTTGGTTCTCTGGCAGAATACAATCTCCTTGAGGCTAGAGCCCGGATTATTTGTACAGAATAGGTTCTTTATAAATGCTTATTGAATTATTCAATCTAAAAATGATAATGGGTTTGTCAGTACTGCACAAGTAAAGGTAATGTGAAAAAAAGTAGAGATTCAAATAGAATTAGAATAAATACTGGAGTTAAAGCAGGACTAACAAAGCTCTGCAGTAATGATTTGCCAATTGTTGGCTTGAAGCTAGGAAAATAAAAACTCACTTTGCGGAGTTCTTACTGCACAGATAACATGTATTAAGTAAATATCATATTTTGTTTTTCTGGTTAGTCTGGAATTCAAATTCTGTGGAGAATTTTGCCACCCCAGTGACCAAAACCCACGTTACCAAAAAAAAAAAATCACATTTGGAAGAAGTAATTCAAAGTTGTATTCCTAAGTACAGTTTTATTATGTGCAAAGTCCAAACAGTGATTAAAAAGTCACCAATGTGCTATAATATAACAAGCCATGATACAAAATATTTGCTTGGAACTCAGGAAATGCTTGATGAAGAAGAGAGATTACTTGAGTTACACCTGTTTTAAGTTAACAGAATTGAATGAAAAAGAGAAAAGCAAAAAACATTTCAAAGATAGCTTGCTGTCTGATAAAGGATGAACTTTATTTTTAGTTTTTAAGACATAGAACAAAGTTTAACAGTAAAATAATGATACCTGGACATCCAAAATGTTGAATAGTTTGTTGTGATATGGGGTAAATGAGTTAGGTACCATGATCTCCACACTCACATTAGGAGCCATGCTAGGTCCAGCATTCATACCTGGTGAAGGGGGAGAGAAGGGAGGAATTAATTTTATAATGTTATAAATATTTTGTCTTAAGTTCACACATCAGGACAATTTTTTACACCATACAATAAATAGCTGACGTTTATATGGTAGTTTAATGTTTAGCAAGTGTTCTACATATATTATCTTATTTGATCTTCATAACCTTATGAAGTAAATAAAATGAGTACTGTCACCTCCATTTTACAGATGACAAAACAGGTTCAGGGAAGTTAAGTAAGCTGCCTAATATCACAAAGCTATTAAAAGAAGAGGCAGAGGGGCAGCTAAGTGATACAATGGGTATAGGATTAGCCCTAGAGTCAAGAGGACTTGAGTTCAAATCTGGCTTCAGATGTTTACTGGCTGAGTGCCCCCTGGGCAAGTCACTTAACCTCGATTGCCTCCCCCTCCCCCAAAAAACCCAGGCAGAACTCAAACACAGGGCCCTTGAATCCAATGTTCTTTCCACTAAACCATATGACCTTCTCCAGGTAGCATCTCTTTTGATATTTATAATGGTGTAAATTCACTTGCAGCCACTTCCTTTTCATGGCACATGCAGGAAACTCCATAGACAGAGAATCCCACATTTTATGCAACAGTTTCAACTCAGTAGAATGTAAGCTCCTCGAAAGTGGAGATTATTTCCATTTTTGTCTTTGTCTCTCCAGTGCCTGGCACAATGCAGGGCACACAGGAGGTGTTCGGTAAACGATTGTTTCATTGAATCTCCTTTTTCCTTTTCTCTCTATGCCTAAATCCTAACCCTTCCCTCTTCAGCATCTCAATCAGGCTTCAGGGTTTAGAAGTCTCTGTTCATGATGCACCTGGAGCCGGAAAACTCAGCAAGGGAAACTGCCAACAATACAGGAGTGCAACTTTATTTTCAATCATTAGGATAAATAATGCTTTTCACATTTTCAGCAATTCTATACTAAAGAGATACCCTCAATATGTGTATGCTTGGGGAAAAAAAAGTAAAGTAGATGCTATTCAAGATATTAGCAATTAGCTATTAAACACTGATATCTTTGTAGTAATTTGTCAGCCCCAGTTTGGTAGTTTCTTCTTCAAAGATGTTTTCAGCCTTTTAGGGGGTACAATATTGGTTTTGGACAGTGAGAGGCATGCTAGAAATGACCAGTCAATAAATGAATGAGTAATCAATATCTATAGACTGACTAGCTAACCAAATAGAGACTAATGATCCCCCCAAAAAAATTCAAGCCCCTCTAATAAGTTCAGGTCTCCTTTCTAATCTGTCAAATTTGGTATTGTTTACATGATGTTATTGAAAAAGATTGGTATATAAAAGATTCCAAAGGTCAAAAATCACTGGTTTGTTGGAGAGGTATTCTGGGGTCACAGGCAGAGTTCTGGGTGAGCCCTATCTCTAACACTCATTGACGGTGTGTCTATGAACAAGTCCTTTAGCCTCCGTGAGTGCAAGTTCCCACATTTGTAAAAGAAGAATGATAGCATCAGTGACCTTAACTCCTTTGTGAGGTGTTGTGAGGATAAAAGATGGATGTGTGTAAAATATTTTGCAAACCTTAAAGTGTGATGTCAGCTATCCTAACTTGGCAAAAAATAACCAAAACTCCAGTCTATATTTTTTTGTCTTAACAGTTTCTGGACTGGGTTTTTGTTTGTTTGTTTGTTTTTTGCTGTTGTTGTTGTTTGGTCAGCCTCAGCCCATACCACCACCACTTTACTCTGGTCTCCATTACCAGGCCTGGCCCCTGCTTATTATTCTCCTCTTTAGCCACCACATCCTCAACCTAAACATCAAGTAACCTCTGAGTTGCTTACGTTCTTCCTCCCCTTATTATTGACCTTCTCTGTCTGACAGACTGATAAAGTAAAGCTTTTATGCTAATAAGGCAAAAATAACTTTTCAGTTTGATATGAAAATATTTTTACAAAACAACTTTATCTTACATGGAAAGTAAAATTAATTTTCTCCATCATACAAGCTTCAGGTTCATTATCCTCACTTGGTCCGTAAATAAATGAAGCTGGTGTTACAAATCTGATTAAAAGAATTTAAGAAGAAACAAACAAAAACCATCAAATGTGTTATTTTGCTGCCATAATAAAATTGCCTTTCCTTTAAGAATCCAATATTCTTGAAGGAATTATGCAATGTATACAGATTCCCATCTTACTAAGAATTCTACATTGACCATAATTAACTTTATACCTATGATCTTTGAGAAAATAATGACATAAGAACCACTCTGAACAGAATTACACAGTATCCCTTCTTCTTCCAACATACCCAGTTACTTTCTGCTTTAAAGAGACTCGTTGTAAACACAACAAAGTGAGTTTCCTCTTAGCATCATCCTTTTGCCCAATGCAACATATTAAAGCTTCATCTAGCCTTTTCTCTACTCCTTATTTCCCTACATCTTCTTGCCATCAGTAGTCAGTGTTAACTCTGTGGGAACACTCCATATGCTGACAGTTATGGATCAACCCATAACTAATCTGGGAGGGCCAGGTAGCAAGAACTGGGGGTACCCTTCTTCCCTTTTATCTCCATTAAACCCTCTTCCTTCACCATCTAGATTTTGGGACCACAGGAAGAAATCATCCAGACCACAGGACTATAGGAAGACCCTGTCCCCTTGTTACCCTTTTAACCCCTCTCCTGGCTGGGCTACAACAAACTCATTTTGGTTGCTTGACTCCTCATATGGTTTGGATACAATGGGAATGACCCACTCTATTCCTTTTGGTGAGACAAAAGACCACTAGGTCTTACCATTTGCCCTGCAGCTGAACTTTCTTGTATGTTTCATATCTTCCAATTAGTGTGGAACTTCCTCAAAGCATGGATTATCTTTATTTTTCTGTCCCTATCTCTAAAGCTTAACACATGCTAAATACTTAATAAATGCTATTTAATTAATTCATTCATATAAACAAAATAGAATCACTTTTAGAAAAATTAATTCTGGGTATCCAGTTCAGGAGTGACTACTTCATGCAAACTTGGGAAATTTTACAGTCAATTCTTGCTTTCTTGCCAATTTACTAATAAACACTTTTGCTACTCCTCAATCTTAATAGAATCATCAAATCTCAGAACTGAATGGCTCTTGTGCTGGCCTGAAGAGTAGACATCAATTTAAGATGTTAGCTTTTGAATATACTAAACTACATCCTACCCCCTGTATTGTACAGAAAACTTTATGTGATGGTTTAAATAAAAATAAAAAAGATGTGTCCATAATCAGTATGTTTGCTCTAAATTTATGCAATGATTACATTCTTAATGTTTTACACTTTTAACACCAATGTACAAAAATGGAACTGAAAACCTGAAATAACATTCACTGAGTCATTTAGCCACCATTTAAGGTCCGGATAAACACAAATTCTAATTCCACATTTTCTTCTTTTTTCTTAAGAGGACAATATCGAACAGAACAATTCTTACCCTTTCTTTGTGTGAGATGTGTCTCTTTGGTAGTCAGTGAAACCTATAGACCCCTTCTCAGAATAATGTTTTTCAATGCATGAAATACATAGGATTACAAAGTAAATAAATTATACTAAAATAAATTATTAAAATGTTAATTTACCAATTCAGGTTAACCTGTGATTAAAAAAACAACAACACTGAAATCTTGGGAAATCAGGAAAGCCTTAGTTCCTGTATCTTGTCTAAAAAGCCAGCAGGTTCACAGGAGTCAAAGGAAGAGGGATACCCTGCTCAGAGCAATCTTAAAATCTTCCACCCTGGTAAGAAGGTACAACTATACTCCCTACATTCATGATCAGCCTCTCTACTAAAGGTACTGAGAAGGAAGGAAGACTGGCCATGGTTCATAGTGGTAGGGTTAAGATTTCTCTGATATGAGGCTGTTGGGATTCCTACTAGCACTAATTAGTCTTAGATGGGCACTCTGAGAAATTCCCTACAGTAGTAAATATGTACTGGACTGAAAATGGCAAGTAACTATGTAATGACTGTTAACTCCAAAGGAATTATGTCAGGGAAAAAAATGAACTAGTGATTTTTAATCTCAAATAAAATATAGGTAGAGGAGTTGACAAAGGATTAGCTTTTAGATTAAAGTGATGGTTCATTATTGACTTACCCATGAACATTTAATGTAATCTCATACTTCAGTGGTATCATTAAAGCCATATTGTTATCCAACAGACTGTCTGTGTCCCATTCATTTTCACTAGAGAATCAAATATAAAATGTCCTGTTAGAATTCTTCAAGCACACTGTATTTTCTCTAAAGAGAATTAATTGTACATAACATATATTTTGAGGTTTATTTAAATAACACTTTTTTGTTATTAATTAGAGATGTGGCAATAAGAAATTATTTTTATGATGGGTGTGACAAGAATGTGTTCCAATTATTTAAATAGTTATTCTCTGATTTTTTTTTGGTTCATTCAGTTTCCTGATAGATTACATAATTAAGAGTATTCTATTACTGATCAATAATGACATTCAAGTGTCATACTCCCTATGTTCTATGCCCCCAACCATAGCTCTAGAATGCTGCAGATACTTTTCACTAAGCACAACAATGATTTTCAAATAAAAATTTACCATGTAGCATTAACTGTAATGGTGAGGTCATCTTCTGCTTTGCTAAGTGAGCTTGCATCTAGGAGAAAACTAAAGTCTTCCTATAAAAAAACATAGAAATGTCGAGTAAACAATTTTCCACATTCTAATAGTTGAGGATAGTGAGGGGAGAAAATGTAGAGAAAGAAGGACATTAAACACATTGAATAAAGTTTTCTCATCTAAACTGAAATTTTCTTCTTTCTCATTCATTTAATTTTCTCAGTTATGTGGACCACAGAACAGACCTTTTGTTGTTTTCAGTATTACCTTTATGTGGCATATGGTAAAAGGCATGTTTGATGACAACTTTAAATATACAAAACTTTGTGTGTGAGAAAAAATTTATAAGCAAGACCTACACTTAGAGTAAAAGCAAAAGATCCCTGTAAAATATCAGCCTTAGAAGATGAGACATCCTCAGAGCTTGGATGAAATATGAATCCTGTTGTTCAACAACAGTAAATAAAGTATGTAGCAGGGAAAAAAAAGCAATTACTGAAGTATTTTCAAAATTCCATCTGTCAAAGCCCAAACATTATACTATCTTCAGTGAAAACACACACACACACACACACACACACACACACACACACACAGAGAGAGTAAAGGAAGAATGTTTTATTAAATCTCTCACAACCCAAGGATGCAGTAAAGACTCTTGAACAGTGAATTCTCATGAGTTTAATCAGAATTTCAAAGTTTTCAAGTCCATAAGAATCTGATCAGTTTTTCTTTTGTCATTTTCATACCAAAATATTATAATTATACTGTTTTTATGCTTATAGTGCATATAGGATTCAAAAGCCAAAAGTTAAAAAAAAAAGTTTACCTTTGATAGATGATCCACATATATATGACCAACCCTGCAGACAAGTTTCACAATACCCAAATTGTCTGTTACTTCACAATATAATTGTTTCTCTTCCTAATATTAGGGAGGGAAATCATAAAAGAGGAAGACTTTAGCTTATTAAAGTTTTTAAAGATTGCTTTATAAAAGCACATAATTGAATAAATTTCTATCTTACGGGCCATTTCCTGAACTCCCTTCCTTTCTGCTAGATATTCACCAACCTTCTGTCCGCTTCCTACACACACATGAAAAAAAAATTCCCACTCTCTAATCTAGTGGTCTACTTTTATATGATACCCTGCTCATTTATGGGTTCAGATCTTTGTGATAGTTTATGGAATGGGATACAAAGAACAACTCCCTTGCCAGTTACTGTGTTTGGGCTGTGAGACAGAAAAATATGCTTAGGGCTCTTAATCCTTTAATCAATTTAAAATAATGAGGGTTTAAAACTCTGGTTATTTGGAGCTCACATGCTATTAATATGTCACATGTGTTTTGATATTTTAAGTCAGGCTATTTGTAGGGCACTAAGTTCTTAATCTTTGCCCAGGACTCTGTGAAAAAATCAAGCACTTCAGAAGCGATAAAGGTAGGGATCTACGGATACATAGTTCAGATGGTTGAGTATTGTCAGTCTTAACCTTAAAAAGTCCTTCCCTTTACCTTGGTTCTAGCGATTGGGGCCCTTGTCTCGACTATTGTGACCAAAGGCACCACTGCTGTCCCAGTAATTAGGTCCCATCTTGCTTTCCTTTGTTTACATTCTTGTCTTGGTATTCCACCTTTCAGCCCAACATAGATCATGGCCATATCTTGTTCTTGTCAGACTTCTCAGGGACTTGACCCTTGCCCCCAAACCACAGTTCTTATGCCTTGGACTATGTCACCTTATATTAGGGACCACATGTCTGGCTGGTGACCTACCAGGATATCACCAGACTGCCCTGAGGCAAGCAATCTGTGGGTTTCACCCATCTATGTGGACATCCATCTTGTCTCCAACTAGACCTCACCGATGCCAGCCTCCTACTTATCCAGATTTCTACTACTCTTGCTATGCTTCCTGGACATGTCTCCCACCTGTTTTTTAATTTCCTCTTAGCTTCCTTTGCTGAGGCCTTCTCAGATTGTCTTTTCTACTTTGTCAAGCTCAGATAGTGACATAAGTGTGGATTACCTAAAAATGAATCTGAATTTTCTTTCCAAGTCCTTGGAAATATTAATTACACTCTTGAGAGGCAGTAGGAGACAAGATACATGCCATTCTATGACCTTAGCTGAGAAACTCACAGTAATAATTTAAAGAAGAATCCATATACTTTGCAATTCAATCCTTACCAGATCTAAAAATTTAATGAAGTAAAGACCTTTGGGTAAATGAATGTGTAGCGTTGTGTCATATGCATCATCTCCAGCATTAGTCAATGAAACATTCAACATTAAAGTCTTTGTACTTCCAACTGCAAGATAATTTTTATTTTCATGTGGCCTAAAAATAATTGAATATTGGTTAGGTTCTGTTTTTTTTAAAGAATTAAAATTCTGTCTCCTAATGCATATGATATTTGCCTTAATAATTAACATGAATTTTAGGGAAATATTCTGGTAGTGAAACAATCATGAATATGGCATGTGTGTTAGGCACAAACCCTTATAATCAAGAATCTTTACGTCAGCTAAATTTTCAAATTGAAATAACAGATTTATCAGTAAAGAAAAGTTTGCATTGGATGAAATCAAACCAGTTCATTTTCCACTTAATTTTCCACTCAAGTCTTTTTTACTTTCTGTATTCCTTATAACTTAAAGAAGTATATCTCTTCTAAAGAAACTGGTAAATCAAAACTTCAAATGTACTGTATGGTCATAATAGGTATAATAATAATATCTAATATTTATGTGGCAGTTTAAGATTCCAAAGTGCTTCATATATATTTTCTCATTCTATTTCCCACAACAGCCCTGCAAAGTTTATAGATGAGGAAACTGAGACTGAGAGGTTGAACGACGTGCCCAGGGTCACACAGCTATTATGGATCTAATTTAAACTCATATCGCTAACATCAAGCCCAGCACTCTATCCATTATAGCCCTTAGCTATATATTTTCACTCCTCTCCAGCTCTTCAAGCTTTTCTCCCTCCTCCCAAGATGCCTTCTCATTCTGAAGATACCTCCACCCTGCCATGTCCTCTTCTGATTGCTGAGTCCCTGGCCGGGATAGCCATTTCAGCAGGTGCCCAGAGCATGCTCACTTCACTCTTGAATCCAATCTTCACTCTTGAGACTTTTTACCTTCTCCTTAGCAATCTTGCCACTAGTTGGGTACCCTTCCCCCCTCCATCATCCATTTTCAGTTCCCTTTATGTAATAAATGCTTTACCTATTAATCAACCATACAAAACTATTACTAAATTAACTGCTTACTTATCAGCGTTATAACAACTATGATGTAACAAACAGGTCATATAATACTTCAGAAGTTAAAATAACAACAATAATAAAACTCCCTTTCACATGGCCTACCACCTTTTAACTTTGGCCCAATTTCTTAAGAAATGTTCTAGCAATGCCATTTTTAAAAAGAATGGCAAATGATATTAGAAATAATTTTCATTTATTGTAATTAGTGTAACATTAAAAATCTCACATCCTGTAGAAGTCTAAATTATTGGCAGAATTAGCTGCAGGATAAACACACAAGCAAAAGTCGTACTTAAAAAATGAAACCCACTCTGGAATAGTTAGTCTGTAATACAAGCTTTGTTCTAAAATACATTTTCATTCAGCTTAATCTTCCTGTTTCAGCTCTAAAGGGTGAAACAATTCATCCTCTAAAGCTGTGAGTACAGAAAATTCTCAACTGGCAGCTCCTGAATCCTTAGGGAAGGGAAACAGGGAGCAGGTGAAGAAGCACATGAAGGCAAGCCTCCACTTTGGTTCACTGTTAGTAGAATACACTATATAAAAATAATCATTTAAAGCACTGATGTTATTTATGAAAAAGTGTGTAGCCATCACTTCAGAGTAAAGGAAACAGATTGAGCAAGAACCACACCATTGCCCCAACTCTTGGGAAAGGGCTGTGAATTTGATTTTTTATTTGCAAAGCCTTTGTCTCTCAGAGCTAATGTTGCTGCATGGAGGGGTTCAGTTAAATAGGATGGAGGAAGTGTGAGGGGGCATCAGAGTCTCCCAATTTCTCCTCCTGGTATGTAATCATGTTACAAATAAAGGAACCTAAGAGGTTCTAAAAGTAAACTTTCATTTGACATTAAAGTTTAATTAAGACTTGTGGAAGAGCTGCCTAGAAATAGACATTTATAAAATATTCTGGCTGCTAACCAAAGCATTAGTCACTGAACACCTTTGGGAAAGAAGTTGGCACTTAGACAAACAGCAGAAGGTGAAAGCGCTGCATAAACAGCGAGCTTCCAAGACAACAGCAAATTAAAGAAAAACACAATGTTAACATTTCAGGAGCTGGAGCCTCGGTTCCCTTTACATTTTTTAAGCTATTTTATCACATTACCATAATTACTCTTCTATCCATCCTTTTTTGTGTTCCACATCTTCTTGCATCTTGATTCATTAACAAGAAGCCATCAGAAAGATGCCCACCAGTTTACTCCAGGAGATACAATAAAGCACCAGGTGCACATCTGGGAGTGTGACAAGGCCGCACTCGAGCTTTTCCCTGGTAATCATATTTCATTCTTCATTAAAACATGCATAATGCATACTTGAAATTTACCAAGCCAACTAGAATCCTAGTAGTTTAAACAAAGCAAGGTACTGTGTACATACAGAATCATAACTTAATAAGTACAGGGTTCAGGTGGGGGTTAGGGGGAGAGAGAGGGAGATGGATTTCTGTCCTCCTATCTTTCAACTGCTCTGAGCTGAATGAATGGAATGGAAGTCTTATTTGGAAAGAAATGTTCCCTGAGCTTTTGTATAATGAATATGCACTGTCTAGACAAAACAGATTAGTACTTCACAGCTAAATAGTTTTTAATCACTATACTAAGACAAAAGGTAATGTGAGGTGATACTTCACACTTTGCTATGTCAAGGTATACAACACATTTATTTGGGTTAAACAAAAATTCCTGACTCTTTGGCTCAAAAGGCTTGAGCTGTAGTAAAAGATGTGCCTATATCCTCCTTGCACTTTCTTGCTGACCATAAACAAGCAGCATGTGTGAAAGGAGAACTGGTAAGTGGGGAGTGAGTTAGCTGGCATGGGGGGGGGGCATTTCACTGGGGAAAGGCTGTAATCATTGAAGTCCCTTGTGTAGTCAAAAAAGAGAAGATGGAAAAGCATGGAATAGGAGGATTCATATGTTTAGTCAGATTTATCTCCAGCCTGCATGTCTCAGAGTCATTCTTTTGGCCACCCTCCACTTCCACCTCCTGATTAGAAGCAGAGAAAGTGTCTTACAATGGGAAACACACCAAGTTTTGGAGTTGGCCCAGTCTGTGCCCAGCTCTGCACCTCCTTCCAGTGTGACTTTAGGCAAATCACTTCACTTCTCTGGCCCTTAGCTTCCTCAGATGTAAAATGAGATGGGTGGGCTACATGGTCTCTGAGGTCCCTTCCACATCTTTGGCTCACAGAGACTACCCAGGGAAAGCCTACCTTCTTTCCTCTTCTAGCACAGAGAGCTGCCATCAAAGGGTTTAGTCACCACAGAATACTTGATTTTTAGCAGTACTTATCTGCCTACTAATACCTGCTCTTGAATTTATAATTTTACTCATGTAGCATTCAGCCATCTCTCTTTGACAACTGAAGACTCTCTAAATATAGTTCATCACATGTATAAGGTAGATGTTCAGTAAGAGGGCTCAATTTAATCAGAGTGAGTTACAGGTCATTATAGTAGTAAAGAATATAATGGAAGGGAATAAGCATCTATATAACACCTACTGTGCGCCAGATACTACGACAATTTTTTTTTACAGATATGATCTCATTTGATACAATAGCAAGCCCATTTCTGATGTCTTCAGAAACAGATACTCTTCACTGAGTAAATACATTTGCCTAAAACAGGTTTATGGCTGTGAGGCACATAAATACCATTGGTGCCCATGGAGTTATATTTAAGAAGACGTGTGGAACATATGGCTTCAGTTTTCATCCTCTTTTGTGGGGGGGAAGTAGAGAGGTTCTGCTGCCTTTGTGGGTTAGAAGCACTTGTATAAAATGTGGTATAATTTACTAAACATGCAAAGCATTCTGTCAGAGCCCTTCTAGAAATCAATTAGAATGTCTTCCATGAAAACATCTCAACAATGTCAGATAACAACCAGAAATGAGCAGTTAAATTCAAAAATAAGACAAAAGCTATAGTGCGTCCTGCTTTTGTAACAGCGCACATGGTGGTACTTAGTGACCTTGAAACACTGACATACTAAACAACATATTAGTATCATCCTTCCCATAGAATCACAAAATAAACTATAAGCATATATTTATTTCAGAGACTATGGAATTTAGAGCTGGAAGAGATGCTAAAGAACTTATAAAACGCCAATGAACTTATAAAATAATGCTTACCATTTCCTAGCACTGATAAACTAAAATAGTTTTATTGTGTTACATAAATACTCCAAGAGAAATGTATTATCATTTAAAATTATCATAGGACTTAAAACTAAGTTATGCAGTCTGGATATTAAGGAAAATATGCTTAATTAAGTTTAGAATAAATGCATAGATTAGATATTCTAATAAAAAGTATTTTATTCCTTAGATATGAAGCATTACTATTGCTTATATTTTCATATTCTGTATTCAAAACCCTATTCATTTGTAGAGCAATTAGAAGGATTTCATTCAAGAATGCCAAAGATGATTAAAGGATAGAGTGACTTAGAAGAAAGATGGGGGGGGGAAGACCTAACACAAAACAAAACAAAGAATTTCTAAACCTAGGTGTTCTTCCTGCTAAAGATCAGTAGAAGCTGCGAATATGAAACAATTAAAATGTTGAAGAAACAGGCAAAATAGGAGAAACATTGAAAATTATCCATTCATTCAAACACTTAGAGTACATATTATGTGTGAGGCACTGAGGATATAGAGCCATTTTCACTGGAACCACATAGCGTATTTTGCCAATCTGTATAATTGAAGAATAAACTTCAACAATTATCTGTGCAATGAGCTGGGTTTCCTTGGCACAGAAACGTCAAGTTACTTAAGGCTACATAGGTCTGGCCTAAGTAAAAGAGAAGTAATTTAGAGAGAAAGAAAATTAAAGCTAAATACCACAGTATTTTTTAATGCCATGCTTGAGAGTACTATCAATACAAGTACCATCAAGAACAGAAATGAAATAAACATTGAGAAAGACATAGTGAGGTATAATCAAACATGATAAGGAAGGCAACCCATGGTGAAATGTATTAGATTACTCAGATAGGCTTTTCCAATCTAGATTCTTAGCTTCTGAACAGAGACAGTAACCTGAACAAATAAAATACATTTCTACTGTGCTGTATTTACAGAATAGTCTAATCTTTTCATTGTGAAAGACATGTGAATCATCTTGAGTTTATGGATGTAATTTGACTCCATTTGAAATGGTAAGTTTCTTTTGTGGAGTTGCAAGGAAGGATCAAAAGGTCTGGGCAGATATCTATAGATTCCAACAACTACCCCCTACATCAAACCAGGTGCCAAAGGTCACAGCTGACCACATCAGGCAGAAGCCACTTTCTAATCCCCCAGCACCACCTTCTCCATCCTATTTGAAACCAGAGAGCAGAGGTCCAAGCTATGGAGAGTCCTCTCCTCAAACTCTAGTCTGTTCTCTATAGCCCAACCTGACCAAATCTTACCAGGAACTGGAAGATAAAAAGACAAGGCTAAGGGGAATGTTTTCCCTTGCCTATATGTCCCTTAGATTTCCTCTTCCCAATGGCTGTGAATCTAACTATCTGTCTTGTCTCTGTGCTCTCCAGATATCTGGGCACTCCCATGTGACCTGCCACTATACCCTAAGAACCATGGGGCTTTTATGTCTGTACTCTCCTATTTTATCTCCCCTAGTTCCATGAGAGCAGAGACTGTCTCTCCCTTCAAAAGCTCTCACTTGATCCTATTATAGGTTGTCTCTGATCCTCTTATTGCCTCCGCCCCGACCCTGCTTCTTGTCTAACCTCCTTGAGAAAGCTCACTAGACTTAGGGCTTCCAGGTCCTCTCTTCTCTCTGCCAACTGGTTTCTAACCTCATTGATTAAGACTGCTCTTTCCCAAGTCATTAATTATCTCTTAATTGCCAAACTGAATGATCTTTTTTCAATCTTCATCATTCTTGACCCTTCTGCAATCTTTGACACTTGATCATATTGGATGCCTTTTCTTCTCTAGGCTTTACTTTTTCCTTATTCTCCTGCTATCTTTCTACCCTCTACTCAGCCTCCTCTGCTGGTTCAGGTCACACCCACCAACCATGGATGCAATGCTACCCCAGGCTCTGTCCTGTAACCTTTTCTTTTCTCTATATTATTTCATTTGGTGATCTCATTAGCTCCCACAGGTCCAGTAATCATTTTTGTTTGCAGTTGATTCACAGATGTAACATAATCTAACTTTAATCTCTCTCCTAACCTCTAGTCTTATATTACCAAATGCCTTTTGGGCATCTCAGATTTGATGTCCCATAGGCTCTCATGCTCAACATGTCCAAAACATAACTTACACTTTCCACTAAAACCTCCCTTCTTCCCAATGTTTGTTACTGTGGAAGGCAACCCCATCTTCCTCGTCACCTAGGCTCACAACTTCAGTGTTGTCCTCAACTCTTTATTTTCACACCCTCATCCCATCCAATTTGTTATGAAGTTTTGCTCTACTTTTATATTTACCATATATATTTTATTCTCTTCATTCACAGTTTCACTCAGTTTCAGGCCCTTATCACCTCTCACTTGGACTATTACATAGCCTTCTAATTGGTGTCTTTGTCTCAAGTCTTGCCCCCCCCATTCATTCTTCACTTCTATGCCATAGTGATCTTCCCAAATGATATCTGACCAGGGACCTCCACCCCCTACACACACACACACAACTCCAATGGCTTCCTACTGTCCCTAGGATCAAATATAAAATCCTCTGTTTGGCATTTACAACATAGCTATTTCTTTCCTTACCAATATTTTTGTACTTTATTCCCATCCAGAAAATTTATGATCCAGCTATATTGGCCTGTTTGCTGTTCCTCACGCATAACACTCTCTCCTCACTCCATGTATTTTCATTGGTTGTCCCCCATCCCTGGAATGCTCTCTCTCTTCACCTGGCGATTTTTCTGTCTTCCTTCATGAATCAACTGGAATCTTACCTTCTGCAGGAGCCCTTCCCAGACCTCCCATTCCTCACTCCCCCACTGTTGGTATCTTCCCTCTGAGATCTATTCTATTTACATTGTCTTTTTCTTACATGTATATAGTTATTTGTATGTCAGCTTCCCCTTTAGAATGTGAGCTCCTTACCTTCCTTTCTATCCTTAGCATGTTGCATGGTGCTTGGCATAAAGTAAGCACTTAAATGCTTTTTTTCATCCATTCACCCATTGACTCATACATACTAAAATCTGTATTCAGACTTTCTGGGTTGAAATTCCATTCATATACCACTCTCTTCTGTGAAGACGCTTTCCTTTGCCACACTTGAATCATAACAGGGTCTTAGTAAGTATGGCAGAGAGAGAGAGAGAGAAGGAAATAATTTGAGGTAAGGCTGTGTGATTCAGACGAATGGAGGGCAGTATGTTTTAACTTACTTGATGCCATATTCACAACAATCTAGAGGAGACTCAGGCCATATTATGTAAAAAATGTAAAATGGGCTTACCATATATTTATCCACAGATAAATACTATTACTACACTGTTATGAAATAGCTCTAAAAATATGAATCTCTTAGAAAATACCTTTGACCACCTATGCTTAGATGAGCCAGGCAATTAATCTTGACTACAATTTGCAAAAATTCAAAAGGGACTTAGGATTATAGAGCATTAGAACCAGAAGAGATTATTTAATATAACACTCTTGTTTTATAAATAAACTAAGAAGTGACTTGCCCGAGGGCACACAACTATTTAGTCATACAACAGGACTGAGAAAGTCCTCCTAGCTCCTAGGCCAGTGTTATTTCCATTCCACTATAGCCTTTACTGTTCAATTGTTCTATGGAAAATCAAAACTAAACTTTTCAACTTGTTCTATCTGCAGACACTGTTGAATATTTACAGTATCATGACTATGAGCAGGACAGTGACCCTGACACTATAATCCCAGCTTTCTCAATCCCCTTTAGTGCTAATGTCTTCCCTTCCTTGATTATCTCCAGTTTATACTTTCTATATCTTGCTTCAGAAGCTAGGGGCACAGTGGATAGAGTACCAAGCCTGCCTGGAGTCATGAAGATTCATCTTTGTTGAACTGAAATCTGGCCTCAGGCACTTACTAACAGTGTGATGCCTGGGAAAGTCACTTAACCTTATTTACCTCAGTTTCCTCATCTGTAAAATGAGCTGAAGAAGAAAATGGCAAACCATTCCAGTATCTTTGCCAAGAAAACCTCAAGTGGGATCACAAAGAGTCAGACAAGATTGAAGCAACTGAACATCCACAACAACAAATTTCTTGCTTATATATGGTGATTTGTTGATTGTCTTCTCAATTACACTGAAAGCTCCTCAGGAGCAAAGACTGTCTTATTCTTTTTTGTTGTATCCCCAGCACAGACCTGGCACACAATAGGTACCTGATATGACCAAAAATAAATCACCATGTTACCCAGAGCTTTAGTGTATTCTAAGTCTTCAGAAAATTCATAATTTTGGTGTGGAATTATCCAAAATATTTATTTAATGAAAACACTCCAAACCCTTTGGCAGTGATCGGCCATAATACTTATAATACTTACTTTGGAAATCCAGTTTTTGCAGACACTTGTAAATCAGCAGAACAATTTTCACGGCTACAAAATCTTGCAAAGTTTATCTGAAAAGACAGTGTACGAGAAGCAATTAGTAGCCTGATATCAATTGGGGTGGGGGGAGGTCTTCAATAGAGTTGAGCTCTAGAGATCAATGCTTGACCTAATGTTATTTAATTATTTTTAACTTTAATCAATGACTTGGCAAAAAGCTTAAATGGCACGCTTAAGAAATGTACCAAATGACTCAGGCTGTGAGCCATAGCTAATACTGTGGATGAGCAAAACAAAACCAAACAAAAAACCAAACCTTGATAGGGCTAGAACATTAAGCCAAACTGAGTAAGGTGAAATTTAAGAAGAGCAACCATAATTTTAAGCTTAAGTGATATAAAAGATGGGTATGACTAGACACTGATTCATCTAAATATATTAAGATTTTAATATGCTGCAAACTCAGAAAGAATCAACACTGTGACATAGCATTCAAGAGAGCCAATATAATCTTCTTGTAAAATCAGCTTTTATTAATGTATATTTTTATATTTTATAATTTTCCCCAGTAGACTTCTTCTTCCCCCTCCCACAGAGCTGTCTCATATAACAAATAGCATTTTTAAAGACAAAAAAAGAAAAAAATAGCATAACTTATCAATATATTGGAAAAAGTCTAAAACCATGTACAATGTACACTTGTGGACCTCCCACTTGTGGGAAGGAATGAGGTGGGAGTTTCTCCTCCTATCTCTTCTTTCAAGCCATGCTTGTTTTTCACTTTTTGTTTTTTTTTATAATTTTCCCACTTCCACTTTTGATGTGCCCATGTGTGTATTTGTATATATGTGGTGTTCTAATGCAGTCTTAATCTAAGAGAGGTATCCTTTCTGGGATTAAGAAGGACTAAGAATACTACTATACTTTGCACTGGTCAGAAGACACATTAGAGGTAGGTAGATGGCACTGTGGATGGAATACTGGGCCTGGTTTGAATCCAGTCTCAGACACTTGACCAAAATCTGCCTCAGTTTCCTCAATGGTAAGATGGGGCTAATAATAGCACCTATCTCCTAGTGTGGTTGTAAAGATCAAATGATTTATTTGCGAAGTGCTTAGCAGAATGCCTGGCACAGAGTAAGTGCTTAGTGAATGCTTTTTTTGTTTTAGATTAACTCACTTTTGCTCATTGAATTTTTAGAAGGAGACTAAAAAGCTGAAGGGTAGTCAGAGGAAAGAACCAGAAAAAGAAGGTAAATGGCATGGAATTCAGATCATGTGGAACAGGCCAGGTGGATAGGGATGCTTAGCTTGGAGAAAAAAATATAGAAGGGACATGACAGCTGGCTTCAAGGATGTCGAAGTAGGTTCAGACTTTTTTGCTTAGACTTGGAAGGCAAAACTAAGACTGACAGTTATAAGTTGGAGAAGGTAAATTGGGGCATCATGAAAGAAGAACATTACTAGTAATTTAAGCTATCAAGTGGAATGGGTTGCCTCAGGATCACAGTAGGTTCCTGCTCACTTGATGTCTTCAAGCAAAGGCTCATGGGGATATGTTGCAGAAGAAATCCTTGTTCAATTACAAATAAGACTAGATAGCCTCAGAGTCCCTTCACAACCAGAAATGCCATGTTTCTACATATATTTCAATTCAGGAAGTTATTTATACTTATTTGTCAGAGGAAAACAGAACTTGATAACAGATCAAGAGAAAATTGAAATTAATGCACTGTATAATAACTTACAATCCACTTTCCAGTGACTTTCTTTATCTGTTGCGGTTCTGTTCTACTTGATCAATAGTTCAGTCAGTCAATAAGCATTTATTAAGTGACTGCTATGAGCTAGTTTCTATGTAAATGCTGGACATACAAAGAAAAAGATAACCCCTGCTCTCTAGGGGCTTACCGCTTAATGGGGGAGATAACATGCAAATAATTATACACAAACTAGCAATATACAAGATAAATTGGGGATAATCAACAGAAGGAAGATACTAGAATTAAGGGGAAGTGGGAGAAACTTCTTATACAAGTTGTGATTTTGGCTGGGATTAGAAGGGAGCCCGAGAAGCCAAGAAGTGGAGATAAAGAGGGAATTTCAGGTGTGGAGAACGGACAATGAAAATGCCCGGAGTCAAGAGATGGATTGCCTAATGTGAGGAACAGCAAGAAAGCCATGTCATTCAATCATAAAGTAGGTACGCTCAAGTTGAGGGAAGGAAGGTTGGAGTGTAACAAGTAAGAAGACTAGGAAAGGGGGGAGGTAGGTTTGAGGGCAGAAAACACCAAAAGGTAAGGAGAGCTAGAGGAAAAGTGGAAAGAAACAGTAATGAAGAGACAAAATGTAGATGTAATGGGAATTAGCCTGCCTGCCCTCTTCCCTGCAATACAGGAAGAAGTCAAGTTGTATTGTTTGAATATTTAATTACTCACAAATTCTGCTTGCTAACAACACAGGGTGTCTATAATAAGAAAATGAACAAAACAAAAATTACTAGTGCGTTGTTATCTGTATTTCCAACAGTTTTATGTTAATGATAAAGCAACTCTAAATTAAGCTTAAAAGGTAAAAGAAGTCCCCAACAGAGGGAGGGATTACCAGCTGGAAGATTTTTTTTCAACTGTTTGTTTTTAATTCAAGCCAATATTAAGTACTTACCACTAGAAAATAGGAATACAAATTAAAAACAAAAATTGTAAAATGAAGGTGTGGAACTCTATGACTTCTAAAGTACTTTCCAGCTCTAAAATAATCTATGATGCTATAATGTTGTTTTTGTGGCATTAGCAGATGGGGATAAATATAGGGCTATACAACCCCTTGAGGTCCCTCAAATTCTATGATTCTGTGCACCATGAAAATGTTTCAACTAATGCCATTATTCTGTCCAAATATATTCAGCTGACTGTATCTTTTTGAAGTTGAAGAGTAAAGGCTTAAATGAAATGATTACAACCAATAAAGACATTGTTCATGGTACAAACTACGGTAAGCAATGAATGTAGGGAACTTAACATCAGACTCATTTTAAAAAGCAGTTTGTACAAAGATGGAGATGGGAAGCACAAGATGAAATTGAAAGAGAGGAATTACCGAGTAACAGAATCATATGACTACATAAAGCCACAGAACCAAACAAGGGATTTGTTAACCCAGAGCAGAAAATATCCCTAGGTATATTGTGTGTATGTAAGCTCATGGTATTTTGTGTAAACAAATAATTCTATCACATAAAAGGTGCAACTTTAATTTTGTTTACCTTTTCTTCATAGGAAAGAGTAAATAGAAAACTGTCATAACACGTATATTTAATGCATTCTTTTTTTTTAAAAAAATTCAATACCACATAAAAAAGGGAGGAGGAATAGGAGAGACATTAAAAAGAGGAAAGGAAAATTTAAAGTGGTACCTGCAAAATCTATTGTTGTATCTATATTTTTTGTAAGAATAACATCAGTATGCTGAGTGAAGTGAGCAGAACATTGTACACAGTAACAGCAACTTTGTGCGATGATTAACTTTCATAGACTTAACTCTTCTCAGTGATGCAATGAACTAAGATAATTCCAAAAGACTCTTGATGGAAAATGCTATCCACCTCCAGAGAAAGAGCTATGGAGTCTGAATGCAGATGGAAGCAGATTATTTTCTCTCTTTTTTTTCTTTCTTGCAGATTTTCCCTTTTGTTCTGATCCCTCTTTCACAACATGGCTAATGTGGAAATATGTTTAGTATGATCATACATGTATGGTCTATATCAGATTGCATGCTGTCTTGGGGAGGGGGGAAGGGGGAGTAAAAATTTAGAACTCAAAATCTTATAAAAGTGAATGTTGAAGACTAAAAAGTAATCAATTAATTAATGAGGCAAGTATTAATTATTACATACAGATTTTTTAAAGGAAGAACTTATATAAAAGAATTCCTCACCATATTATGTTACATGAAATTTCTAAAAGTCTCTATTAGAAAATGAAAATAAAGGAAAAAAATCCAACCTTTTCTTTAATTATGTCTTTTTCTTTCTTCTGCTGAAGAATTGGTTGAAGTGGTGAAAATTCGTCAGTGATGCTTTTACTAATCACATGATGCCCAAGGTGATAAGCTGCTTCAACATGAATTGGAGTAAGGATATCCCTTACATCTTTCTAAGAAAATTGGAAATTTTATTAATTACTCACTTACATATACAACTAAAAACTCAAACTTCAAGAATTTTTTTTCTGTACAAAAGGCAAATAGCAGAATACAGGGAACCCAGATGTTTTCTTTCCATTTCTTTTCCCAAAACTTTGTGTTTTTTTTTTTTAACATAACTATGGTCAGGAACACTGTAATCCCTGCTGCTGAGGTAGGCTGAGGCTACTGAATACCTAGAGATTGGGAAATGTGAGTAGCAGTGGATTAAAGTTTATAGGCTGTTTACACTAAACCCAACACCAATACAATGAGCCACTGGGATTAGGGGGACCACCAGGCTGCCCAAGAAGGAACAAAGAAGCCTAGGTCAGAAATGGAGCAGGTCAAAGCCCCATTGCTAACCAGTAGTGGTACTGAATCCAGGAGTGGTTGCTGCACTTCCAGGCTGGGCAAGAGGGAGAGCCAGTCTCAAAAACATACATAACAAAACAAAACAAAATTTATAGATTCAAAATAAGAGATTATGTCACTGAGGGGGACAGGTACTCGAGGACCGTGCTCAGTGGCTGCCACCACCACTGCTGCCATTATATCAGCCCATCAGGTTCTCCTGCTGGGTGAGGATCCAAAATGGGGCACAAGCTGATTTGGGAGCATAGTGGATACATCTTTGTGCAATATTATTACCAGTTACTTGATAATGACAACATCTAATTGGGAGCTATAAATATGTGTGTGTGTGTGTGTGTGTGTGGTGTGTGTGTGTGTGTATACACACACACATATACCTATATACATTCACATACATATACACACATATATACATATACATACATATACACACATTTATACATATATACATACATATGTATGTACACACATGTGTATATGTGTATATATACACACACACATATCTTGCCTTTCATGAGGGCAGCAATTCCAAAGCAAAGTAACCATCATGGAGAAATCATCTAGCCTTCCATTTTAGAAAATACAGCACAGCATCATGGCACAGGACCATCAGCCCACCCCTGACAGTTGTACACTCAGTAGTGTGGTGGGACACGTAAATTCTGACAGGAACCATCAAGGGATTCCTTCTTTTTTTTAATTTTAAATATTTCTACTAATGAATGTCAATGATGCTTGGGTCTGCACCAAGAACATATTCAGGCTAGTGCTGCACAACCTTGGCTAAGCTCCCTTTTCTCTAGGCACCTTTAATGTTTCCTTCTCTCCCTTATTCCTAATATTATTCATACTCCTCCCCTTAAATCCCTTAAAACACTCCAGATATCATACACAAGTCTGCAAGGGCATGGTGGGTGGACACTATGGTGGTTGTGGTGGTAGTGGTGGTGGCATCACTATTTGAGTGTGTTATGCAAGCTGGCAAGCTGACAAGAGAACTTTGTGCTGTACTAGCAACACTTTAGAAAGACTGAGTAATGCAAAAGGCTGTCTTTTTTTAATGTACTGATGACTTGCTATAGTAACTCATCTAGTAACCCAAAGAATTAAAGGAGAAAGCAGAAGCTGTGTGTGCAGCCTAGATATTGATTTGTTCATTTATTCCAATGCCTCATAATAAAATAAAAACTATAAAAATTTTCTTAACAAAAAAGGGGATTGTGCCCTTCATATATTACTTCCCTCTCCATAGGAGGGAATACTACTGCAAAATTGGACAGATGGATTAGGTGATTCTCCTTTCTAAAGGTGTTTCCTCTTTTCCAGAGGATTACAAATGATTTGCTGAAGTAGGATTCCAAGTCAATTCTCCAGTTCAATTCTAGTATTCTTTCCATTATACTATGCCACCTAAAGAAGAGTGCCCACGGCACTACATAGAATTCGAATTTAAGGGAGTGAAGAGCAAAGTTTTATTCATAGGTATACCAATCCAATTGGATTGTTTTATTTTATAGAAAATTAAGTTGCTCCCTAAAGGCCACTGTTGGCTATGATACGGAATTATTTCAATGGGTGGATGCATCCTCTGTTTTAAAATATCCAAACCTCTTATCTGAGAAACGAAATAAATGTCAGGTCTTGCTCTAAGCGTTGCTGGATTCATTTTAACTCAACACCTCCCTTGAAATCAATGAGAGTTTCCCAAGGCAACAAGATGTCAATCAGGTTATGCATTCTTTTCCTCTAAAAAGGACTAAATTAATATAGTCTATTCCAAGTTCTAGTCAAAAGGGAATTCCTTATAGATGGTGAGTCCTCTGAATGTTCCTGATGCTCCTGTCTGAGGATGACATTTTGCTAAATGCATCAACCCCTAGAATATTGTGGAGTCTCCTAAATGGCAACCACATCTAAACACTCAAAAATATTCTAGCTATCCATACTGGAAAAACAAAATGGATGAAGAATTCCAGTTGTCTAGACCTTGAGAGCCATTAGATAAACCAAGATATATCCATCAAGATACATATCTTGGACAGACACTGTGAATTGGGCCAGAAATGAATAGAAAAAAAAGATAACATATGGATTTCCTTTGGCAAATTGGAAAGTTATTTTACTTGTACCAAACATCTCCTTGAAAGAAAAACACTTTTAGTTTATTTCAATATTTTACTGGTATTGTAAGGCTATGAGTTATAGAACTCTACAGACTCCAAAGAATTCAAAATGAGTATCACCCAAAGGGCAAAGGTGGGTTCCAATGAGCTGTATCACACTGAATTTCAAGGGAAATGTTAAACCAAAATGAATTTAACAAGGTCTAAAATAAGACTAAATATTTTAAGTGAGGAGGAACCCCATAGGCAGTATTGCAGCAATTTAGAATTGCAAAAATAAATAAATAAAATAAATTACAAAGGAAAACCAGAGCAAAGGATTCCATCAAGGAAATGTACGAATGATAAAGATGAGGCGGTCGCATGCTAGCAGGAAAATATGACTTATAGACTGTGTTAACATTCCACAGATATCCTCACAATGTTATGGAAAATCAAATGAAAGTACCAGTACCTGGGGTGGATCTGCTGTGGTGAAATTATTAGAGACCAAAGATAAGAATCACACAAGATAGGCAGATATGGATGGGTTGCCATCTGGAGAGAATACCCACATTGATGACTTCACAGATCCATATGGATATTGAGTATTTGAATTCCTAATTAAGTAACTTGGTGGATGATTTCAATTGAATTAAATTACCAATTTAATTAGATATTTGATATATAGATCCATGGATCATAAGTCTAAAACCCAACTATGAGGGTCCCTAAATATTATAAAACACAGCCCAAGTTAACAATTCAAATGATCCTAAAGCATGGAAGGGGAAGTTATAAATCAACAAGGACATACATTTATAGCCAGCTTCCGTGGGAGGTTGGTAGGCAATATTCAATCTTCCTAATTCTTCTTTGCTTTAGAATTGTTACTATGTTACTATAATTAGAATTATTACTACTGTTATTACATGTTTGTAGAACTGGTCACAGACTTGGCTGACTTTACTACAGTTGCAATTTGAATTTAAATGCCTATTCTGACCTTCTACTTCTAAAATGCATTTTTTAATCAAGAGAGAATTCTAGGTTCCTAATTTCTAAAGTGGATGTAGTGGGAAAAAAAAAAAGAAGAAGAGGGCAGTTCAATAAAGCCCACATGGAACATGAAAGAAAATAGGCTCAGGGGCTTTCAGCAGAACTATATACTTACTGAAAATGTAATTGGGGCTAACATTTATACTACGTGAACTCTTCAGAGGAATGACATAAATTCATGTCATCATACTAGGACATAAACTTCTCATGGATTAGTGTCAGTAGGCCAGATTTTCATCTATCTATATTTAATTTATCTATCTATTCAGCTATCTAAAGCAATAGATGATTAGAATTTGTTCTAATGTTAGTGAGTCAATAAGAATTTATTAAGTGCTTAATATGTGTCAAGCACTATATTAAGTATTGAGGATCCATAGAAAGGCAAATTATAGTCCTTGCTCACAAGGAACTCACATTCTAATGGAGGAGACAATATAAAAACAGCTATGTATGCACAAGATATTTACCAAATAAGATAATTGGAAACAATTATTATAGGATAGTTAGAGATGATGTTAGGGAATGTACTTATCAGAAAGGAAATACAGAAAGTATGATTGCTCAGAGTTTGTTACACCAGAATGTGAGCTCCCTGAGGAAAAGGACTGATTTTTTGTCTTTATTTCCGCAGCCCTGGGCACATTGCCTTGTGTTGGGAGTTGGAGGGATCTAGATCTATGTTTTAATCAGCACAGAACTGTACTCCTGATATGGAAACTCCCTCCACAGATGCAAATTGGCAATTCATCTCCATCTGCAATTTATAGGCTTAAAGAATTGACTTGCTCAAAGTCCCACATCCAGTATGTGTCAGAGACAGCTCTTGAACCCAGGTCATTCTGACTCCAAGTCTGATTTTCTCTAAACCCCTATCTCACACTACCAATCAAGCAGCTTGCAGATCAGCAAAATTATCACACAGAATCAATTTTTCTAATTTTGTATTACATTAAAGTTTTCCTCCTCTTGCTTGCTTTATATAGTAAAATGAACATATATTCATTACAACTTTTACTAGTCACCAAAAAATGGTAGAGAAGTCAGATTTCTTGAGAACAAAAACCTCAGGTTTACAGTTTATACGGCTAGGGAGAGGAATAGACCTGTGTTTTTTTGTTTGTTTTGTTTTTCTTTTACATATAGGGAACTATCCCCACCCATTCATGCAGGTTGACACCTTATTTCCTTCTTAGAATCTTAAACAGCTGTAGAGAACACAGAGAGGTTAAGAGGCTTGCCCAGAGTCCCAGAGCTAATATGGATCTGGGCAGGACTTGATCCCAGGTCTGTTGGCTCTGAGGCCAGTTCTCTATCTACCATGCCACATTGTCTCTCTTATATAGTTTATAAAAAGGAAGAGGCTGGGTTGGGAGGAGAGACAGGAAAAACAAGATAGCCCTGCCCTGAATTCTGATTGAAAGCCAGGTGAGAAT